TTATACCCTGTGCGTCCCAATAAAATTACGCGGACGGCTTTCACCAGCTGCACGCCACTCAGCAGACTGCCGATTTGATTCCGGAGTAAAGTGGTGACTCCATTTTTTGTCTACTGTCACATACCGACGCAAGAAATCCTATTTATTGCGGGTGAACAGTAACAAACAGCTCTTTGAGTTGTCAACTCGTTGTTGCTTTTGTTCCATTGTGAGAAAATGCGGCACCCATTTAGAAAATACTTTTTTCATACTCAACTTTTCGTGTAAGATGGTAAATGCACTTCCGGTTATTATCTCAGGAACTTTCAGTTTGCGGTCATTAATCACGATTTTTAAAACCTGCTTAACATTTTCCGGAGTTACTGCTTCATTTGGCATACCCGAGCGTCCCACATCCTTTGTATCAATATGACCGGGTTTAAAATCAACATATCAGCAAATCGTTGTTGTCGACGGATAACATTTTTCAAGCCGTCGCTGAGCTTGGACGGTATTCTTTCCCATTAAATAACAATGTTTTATCAACACACGAAATTCGTTTTATCTGGTTGAAAATGGAAAAATCATTTTTCTGCTTCTGTGCTCATTTTTTAATATCTGTAACATCTTCAATTTTTAAAAAAGCAGTTGGACAAATTTTTAGATTTATAGGTATCAGTGATCGGTGACAAAAGGATCCTTTTTCGTTCAGTCAGATATCTCCACGCCAAAGTGAGTATTATTTCTTTCGATTTCATACTCAATTTTTCATCAGTTATGAAAATATGCACTGCTGCAAAGATTGGACTTCGTTTTAGAGAAATCTAACAAGATTGAGCAAGTGTTATGAAAGTGCGTTAATAAATCACCAGACTGAACTGCAAAAAATACTTCCTTGGTTGATTTAAAGAAAGTCCATATAAACCAGATTTACTTCCCACAATGCGACTTTTTCAAGAGGGTGTTTAATTCAAATCATCATTTTCCATCGACAAACGAAGTCTGACAGCTGTATCTGTCTAGGTTTACATGATCATTTTTCTACAAGTAAATTGGGAAGAGGATAAATTGGAATAAACAAATTTCACATAATAACTAGCTAAACCAAATTCAAATATGTGTATAAATTCGAACCTCACCATTGGAATCACACAAACTGCAAGAGATACTAAGTTGCTCAAATGAGGGCACAGTTGTGTATTTAGATAATTAACAAGATGTACTGCCCGAGAGACATGTAAAAAACAGAATTTACCAAAATCATTTTAATTTTTCCCTGACTTTATTTGTAGTGGAATTTCAAAATAAATTGCACCTTAGCATTGCTACTTTTTATCCTCTAAAAATGTAAATGCGTCATACATTGACGTTGTCATGTCTTAGTTATTTGAAAAAGTAAGAATTTTCTAGGTAGGCTTTATAATAATCAGATAGTCATTTGTTTCTCCTACCACATTTATCCCAAAATCAGTTTTATTTTTTCCTGACCTTATTTGATGAGATGGGGTTCCAAAATAAATTGCATGTCAGCATTGACACCATTTCTTCTCCACAAACTGACATAATTATAATTTCAATATGACGTTTCGTCTCCTGTCTTCCAGCATTAACTTTATTTTTTCTTAATCGACGCCATATTGGATTTTTTATTTCAAAAGTGTATACTATACATATTCAAATTGGCAAACCTTGGTTATTCCAGAAAAATAGCAGTTCCTAGGTAGGCCTTGAAACTATCAAACTCAGAACTATCATTTGCTTTGTATACCAGACTAGACTTGAAATCGAACATAGCGGCATAGTCTGGAAGAAATAAGTCGAGAAGAGGAGTCAGGACAACATTTTGAACATTTGCTATGAGTTACCTCTGGTTACTTATGAAAAGTATTGGTATTATCATCAATAATGCGTTCAGGTTTCACAATACTGCTTTATTTCCTCATAATACTCATCCAGCAGCCAGTCCATGGTCAACTAGGAAATGCATCACTTAATTAAGGTCTGAAAAGTCCATTTAAATGTACAAAATTCCAATATAACGTCCATATGAGAAAACAAAGTTGATGATAGAAGTCGAAAGAAGGAAAGTTGAATTGAAAATTTGACTACGCCATCTTGTAGAGGAGAATAAGTAACAATGGCAAATCCCACCTTGAATAAAGTCAGGAAGATGTCTATCCGATAATTTCAAGGCCAACCTTGGAAATTGTGAGTTTTTTGAAATACTAAGGCTTAGTAATGTCAATGTATGCCGTACAAACTCAATAAACATATGATGTCCATAAGACAGAATTAAGTTGATGCTGGAAGACAAGAGATGAAACGTTATATTGAAATTCTTATTATGCGATCTTGTAGGGGAAGAAAGGAAATAAATCGCGCAGTAAACATGTACAGAGAAACTTATAATTTTTGTGTCAACAACAAACTCATGGCGGTCAACTAAGGAAATATATAACTATAAAGTTTTCAGCCCTACTCCTTTTGTATCTACAAAATTTCAATACAACGTCCATATTAGAAATCAAAGTTGGTGATGGAAGGCGAAAGAAGAAGTCTGGGAAAGTGACAATGACAATATGTAATTTACTTTGAAATCCTATCTCAAGTAATGTCAAGAAAAATAATAAAAGACTTTGCGATTATGTAGTATACGAAACAAATGACTATCTGATAATTTCAAGGCCTGTCTGAGGAATTCTGTTTTATTAAATAACATTTGCCAATGTGAATGTATGACATATTATCCATTTTTTAAATCATATTTATTTACTTACACCACCAGCGGATCAACCAATTGTTGGTTGGAGAACAGATGTTTACATAGCACAAACATGGAATGTTATACGTACGTTTGCCCTTAAAACTAAAAATATTTTCAGCAGCTTAACCGTGACACATGACGTGCGCCACCGGGTTACTAAGACAAATATAATCATTTGGCAAGTAGTCTGAATACATATAAGTATTTATCCTAAGAACATACAAAATTTTACATTATCCGTGGTTTTTCGAATTTCTGCAAGAAATCACTAAAGGAATGACAACCTGTGAAGCGACAGTGAGCTGTCTCTGATTAGCGTAAGCTCAGGTAATGGTACCCCCTGCGACATTGCAATAGATACAACTTATATTTCGGGATAACGTAAGTGCCTTTTTAAAAATATTTATTTCCGAAAATACAGTAGTGGATGGTACGAAAGTTAGATTAAGACTAAATTTTAATTATACAAGTACAATGTTCGTTAGCATGAGTAAAACAAAAGCTACTATTCTAAATCACAATCGATTAGCTTTAGAATATGTATACAAGTTTGCAAGTCAGAACCTATTATTACTAAGTCCCATTAATATTATTACAATCTGTTTTCGGAACAGTAGTAATGCTAAAAAAAGTAGACCAAAAAAACTGCTAACGTTACTTATATCATCTCTGCCACCACTATTAAACACTAAAAGTAATATGGGACTATTTTACCCGACTAGCAAATTTTGCAACAGTTAGACCGAGACTTCAATAATTTTGCAAGACCAAGGCTGACACTAAGCTAGTCTTGATCTTAGCCCTAGCTGTCATGCCACTTATTAAACTGTACCTCCTGAAATCGAATTATTTTTGTCCATACACATACGCACGCGCTAAAAGCATAACCTTCCTTCTGAGGCAGCCAGGTAAAAATCGCCTCTTACCCCCAGGCTGCAAGGTAGCTATTGGCTGCCGTGAGTAGCTACTATTCTTATTCACAAGACATTGGCTTGAGTATTCGGAAATTAATGCGAGACTCGGATTCCCTATTCTCGTTCCTACTGTTTTCTCCTATATATTATTGCATTTGAAATAAATTTCACTCTGAAGTTATACTGTGAATCCTTTCCGCTTGACTGTACCAGGTTGACTGTCAGAAATTACCTAATCGTAGAAGGAGGTATAGGAAGAAAATCGCAGGCAAATATTTGTGAAATGTTATATAATATGTTGGCTGACAATATTTATTAAGTGTCTCTTAAGTCAAACACTGGTCAGACTTTGATGATATTCTTGTACATGGCTACTATCAAACCAAGCCCGAAAAGGCTTTGAGAATTTTCAAAACTGGACGAGTTTTGAAAACATGGAACAACCTATGTCTTTCGGAGTTTTTTTATCACTCTATCTATTTATCACTTTTGCTGTAGGGATCTGGATTTCTGAAGAACTCGAAACGACGGTTTCAGCCTACTAATAACTTAGGTCAAAGCATTAATCTGTACCTAAAATTTAGACATCAGTCCATGTGAAGTACTGTTTAATTCTATTTTTGTGTATTTTTTGAGCATTTTATGATCTTTCGACAAATAACATTTTGAATATCATGTCATGTCATTAAAAGTTCTTAGAATTTCTGTACCTGGAGTTTTGAAAAGTACTTTGTTTGAATTGATATATTGTTGTGTCAATTCATGCGAAATAAGCAGCATTGGTCACTATGCTTGACCTCTCATTTGACTAGGAGCGAAAAAGTATATTCAAACATCCAATTTGCAAGAAAGTCAGTTTATTGCATTTGTATAAATAATAACTGTCAATATTACATAAATTAGTCAAAATATGTACATAAGCTATAAACAGGCGAAAAAATTTTACAAAGACGTTAAATGAATTCAGTAAATCAAAAACGCTTCTGCGCTGCATATCGGTGTAAGTCTCATCGATCTGCCACTTTCGATTTGACGCTCAATTTGACTTTAACCCAATGAATATACCCATTGTCAAGTACACCAACAAGTTCAAATTAATGATGAGGATACTAATGAGATTCAACGTCATAAGTAATATTGCACATAAATAACTTTGACAAAACATTTGGTGAGTTATAATTCAAAATATGTATTCCAAATTGACATATTCAATGGTTCAGCAAATTTTTAGAAATGAAACAGAAAGAAGTTGACCATTTTCCCAACAAAGTAAATTTTTTATGAAACTCGGGCATTAACATCACCCAGAAAATTGCTTTTGTATCTTAAGTCAAAATTACAGGTTATAGAACGCACATATCGTCCGGTAACTGAAAAAAAAGAAAAGTACATTTTTGTCATTTTTGGGTTAAGTACAGTTCCCTATCTAAAATGGTATAATGTGTATGCCCGCAAAGAGACATACCTTAATATTAGGAGGATGAGATTTGTAAAATTAATGTTATTCCTGAGAAATATCATTATTATTAAAAATCGCGCCCTACCTCCAAAGAAGCAAACGGTCTTATTTCAGAACCAGCAGCAGAGGATTTTGATCCCGAGGTATAGGAAGAGTTAAATATCTGAGGTATAGAAATGTATACATCTAAAACAAGACAAGTGCAAAAAATGGTTTGTTGTTAGTAGTTTTCTAAATGTTATGAATATGTCTTACTGCTGTTTTTAGACTTCCGTTAATTCAGTTTGTGAATAAAAAAGTATTTTATTTCTTTGTTTAATTTTTAATTTAACAATGACGTTCAAGATCCTCGGATCTTCGAAGTATAAAAATGTAAGTTACTGGTATTGGCACTAACCCGACTATATACAAGTGAATGCTAATTAATTCTTACTGGATTCAGTCAATATGCCAAAAACAAACAGCAAAAAGAATCCTGCTGACTGGCATTGCAAAACCTTGCTTGAGCTATGTACCTACTTCTCTCGTTTCGAGTTAAGAAAGAATTAACCAACAAAAAAGTGTGTGTGACATTTAGGAGAAGTAGAATACATTTAAAACCTCAAGAGACTATCAATGGTACATATAGTGCATGGATATTGGTCGTCACAACCAATAGGACACTCACTCTTCTGTCCCAAAATATAGTCATCACTTGACGGCTGCTCATTTGTTTTGATGTTGAGGTAGGACTGATTTAATGGCTTATCCTCTACAAGTTGCTCGCAATTCACAGGATAGCAGATGACTGGATCATGTTGGTATTGATAATTCGGATCTAGTTGGACGTTTTCGTATAAGCTTTGACATTGGCTGATGTACAAAGCGTTACCTTCCCACTGGTCTCCCTGTACAGTTTGTGGTACGCATTGACTACGACCAGCCTGCCCGCCAGTCACCAAATGATGATCCGGCCTCACCGTTTCAACCCTTGGCTTGCTATGTGAACTAGGAGTTGATGCAGCAACTGACAGAGTAGGAGAGGTCCTGTTGTCTAATCCAGGAGAGGGCGTCCTTTGTTTTTGTTCCTTTTTACATTTCATCCTTCTGTTTTGGAACCAGACTTTGATCTGACGTTCCGTCAGGTTTAAGAGTTGAGCCATTTCGGTACGACTTTTTCGGCACAGGTATTTGTTAGAGTGGAACGCTTTCTCCAGTTGAACAAGTTGGGATGGAGTATAAGCTGTTCTGACTCGTTTGGTATTTGGAGTATCGCTTGAGCTCCGCTTTGGACTGATTGGACCTGGTGGAAGGCTCTTTTCTGTATCTGGAAAGAAACAAACTTTTTAGTTTGGCTACTCATTGGTGATTTTCAGTTTTAGTATTGGCAAATATAAGTTCAGAATACATTGTGATATGTGCTGGCAACAGTGCGAGTTGTTTACTGCTTCTCCCACTCGATCAAGATATTGTTTCTATTAGAAAATCGAGAAACTAAATATGAAAAGTGAGTTCTAGTGTTGTCTTAGACCAGTTTGTACAAGTGCATAAGAAGGTAAAGCAGTACCAGTGGATTTAAATAAGTTAAATCAGCTGGCGACTACAAATGCCAAAGGCTTGTGCCATAAGTCTGTCTTTGATGACCAAGATGATATGTTATGTTATAAATGCAGTATTTGGAAGCATATGACCTGTCTGGCAATATCTAAAATTATATGAAGCTGAGCAAATCTTCTCACCAATAGTTGTGTAACTTGTGTAGTGCTGAAGATGGAGCAAAACAAATTGATCAGCAACAAGTAAAAAGCTACACCTAAGTTGGATGCAATGGACGAAAGGTGCAACGCAGTGCTTACAAAATTTACTGAGCAGGTCCAAATTAATGAAACCTTACAAAAGGAAATAGATTGTATTGAAAAACAGTTAAACAAAAGCTCTCAAGAACCTGTAACCTGTTCGTTCAAGGAGTAGCTTGTAAAGAGGAGGAAAGCCCACCAGAAATCAAAACGAGATCGGTAACTACTTTGATGTTCCAATAAACCATAAGTCCACTGTTTTTCAATTGATAAAGAGAAATACAAAGGATGGTACAATCAAATTAGTATTTAAGTATGACTAAATTAAAAGTTTCTTCAATAAAAAAATAAATTCAATCCCAAGATTTAAGCTACGCAACCGATAATAAAGTATTTCTAAACCTGAGCTCACAAAAGCGAATGTTAAAGTGTACAAAGCTGCAAGGTTATTCAAAGATGAAAAAGGCTACAAACTGCTATCGATTGGGGATAGAAGCGTTTTCCTACGGAAATATGAGCGATCTGAAGCTCTGTTAGTTGAAAATAAGGAGCAGTTTGAAAACTAGAAGAGCCTCGAAAACGATGTAAAATTGCTTAAATGAATAGCTAGTACATCAGGAATAATAATGATCTTGTGCAATATAGTATGTTCAAAGAAGACTAGTGATTGTGAATCGTGGTTGCAGAACCGCCTTTTTGAGTTAGAGACTACCCTTCTGTGTCCAATGCTAATGACATCGTAACCTAGATGTGTGTTGGTTTAGGTGAACAAAGTGTTAAAATTAGTGTAACCTACAATCCATCATCGTACAGCAATAATGATTTTTTCCGTATTGCGAGTCCATCCTCCTTAAACGTCCAAGAAACCATTTAATATTAGGAGGTCTCACCATGAACCTGCTAGGAGATTATCTAGTGACTTTTGACTACAGAAATTTGTTAACAATAAATAACTGCAAAATATATAATTTGATATGTGAATTCCCAGTGATCGTGGTAGTAAGATAGATTATAATGTGAGTGTTAAGGAAAATGCCCTATGGGATCATAAGTTACTGTTAGTGAATGTTAAACATAGCCTCAAAAATCATAAGCCATAGGTAGATTATGAAATAAAAACCGTAGATTATTACTGATTTCAATGTCTTGTTCAACAGAAGGTACAAACAGTGAATATCACTACATTCCAGTACCTAATTAGTATAATTCAAGAATGTAAGGTCAAATCGGAAACAATACGTGAAAATAATTTCTGGATAGGTAAAGAAATACTTGAAATATGAATTTAGTTTTTAAAAGAGAATATATTATGTTCAAAAATCGTCATTTAATTCGTTTGGAACAATATGCTCCTTAGCGCTTTGGCATAACCGTACTGTGAAACTTCTAGCCACTGCTGTTAGCCTTTTCGTGCAATCTCAGCAACCTACGAACCGACTTTGATAAATTCTCTTAAACCAGTACAATCTGTTGTTTTAGTTGGTACTTTTTGAGAATCGATGGCACAGTAATTTCCTTAGAAACGATCAATAAGTAAATGATAATTTTGTGGAAGGAAATATAAAAAATGCATCTATATTCTGCATTTTGAATTTGTATATATACAGGTTACTAATCGTAGTATTTAAAATGAAAGTTGGTATTGCTTATCACTATCGTGATGACTCACCTGTCGATCTTTTATCTTGGCTGTCAGCGTATAGGTAGGGAATTTGGATGCTATAGAGCGGTTTTCCCTGGATGGCAACTTGAGCATCCTGAGTCGAAAATGAAAAATTGGGCTGTTGGTCGTTTGTACATTTCGATAGATGTTGGTTGATTTGTAGATCCTGAAACAAAAAATTGTTATTATAATATGGTATGACTACACTTTCATTGCTTTTGTCTTGAAGCTAAATGGTTGTATAGTTGGTATGAGGGAATATCCTCGTACCAAAAGGTATAAGTCAAAAATATCTTCATGCGGAAAACGTGTTGTAAATGATGGCTATGAGACTGGTTTGATTTTTTAACTTTTTGCGTATACACGTATAACACGGAAGCAAGCACTGGTTTGATCACCCTTCTTTATTTGGAAATTAAGATTCAAGGGTTTTTTTAATCTTTCCACTATTTTTTTGACGTGTACATTTTCATTGCTTTTGTCTTGAAGCTTAAAGCTAAATGGCCGTATAGTATGAGAAAAAATATCTTCATGCGGGAAACTTCTTGCAAATGATGGTTATGAGACTGGTGTGATTTTTTAAATGTTTTGAGAATACACGTATAACAATGTAAGCAAGCAATGGTTTGATCACCTTCGTTCAAAAATTCAAGTTTAAGTAAGGATTTTTTTCAATCTTCCAACTAATTTTTGACATATATACTAGCATGTAAAATGTTATCCATCATCAAGCTTAAATATCCTGCTTTCCATGATGCACAGTTTTGAAGATGCTTATATATCTGTCTAGTCTTTAAAGTAAAATGCAAATATCGAAATAAGACCGTACAAGGTGGTCGATTCTGCTAACAGCACTTTGTGCTGAGAAGTTGCCAAATAGCAAAAAACGGACAAACGAAATCTATATTACTAGTTAAAATACAATTGTCTAACTTATTTTGTTTCTCTTCGTTACAGTGGTAACAGAGTTTTATTACTCCTCTGATTTTGGTTATGTATGAAACTAGAATAAATTTTCCATCTGCTTACCACAAAGTTGTTTTCCACATGGTAGTTGTTTGTACAAACGTTTCCTCCAGCTTGAAAACCGTAATTTCCATCCCCGTACTCAGCAACAGGGCCAGCAGCACTATACGGTGGCGAAGATTCGGTTGAGTTCGAAAGGGGTGAAACACCCTCGGTCAGCAGCATATTGCTGTAAGCTTCCATGCTCTCAAAGTGGTTTCCACTGTAATCGGACAATTGGACAGTTGAAGACATGCTGAACTGCAATGAGCTGAACTTTACTAATGAGGGGTATTTATAGAAAAGCTTGACCACTCCTTATCTCGTTATCGGTACTCCGATTGGTCAATTGCAGGGTACATCCGCCTACCTGCTTCTTATTTTGGCAGAGTAAGCATTTTAAACCGTAAGAAGGCAAATTTTATGATATCGACAGGCTAGCGCAGAAAGAATCTTTTAAAACTGTAATAGTGCGACAGAATTGGTAAGAACGTGAGAAGATTCTTTATTTTCTTCATCAATTGCTGTACCAAAGTTCTTAAGACTGATTTAAAGTAGTTCACTAGCTTTTGTTGCCGATGTAACGGTTACGTAATTTCATTTTTTGTTGTAGTACTTACAGTACAAGTCATACTTTGTGGTGTATTGTCTCAAAATTTAATGGGTACACAGTACAGGGTGGCACAAAATGATCGCTAAGACTTGAAAAATAAAATAGAAAGACACATCTTTTAAGACAAGTTTCCATTCAACTGCTATAACTAACTAAAAGATCAGAAACATTTTTTTTCCGATTCAAATCATAAAACGCTTGCACTTTGTATCCATATTACAGGTGTAATTACAGAAATGATATCGTCATTTTGAAGTAGTTCCGATATTGGATTGCAGCTCAGTTAAGGCTAGCTGGTTCAAGAACGAAGAAGTCGCAAGTCTGAGGGGTCCGATATATCAAACTCTTCCATTTGACACCCAAGTTGTAGGTGTTAACGCGGAAATGTTATATCGCCATTTACATATATATTTCGTATCGTCATGCGAACCAAACGTGTATATAAAGCTTTAGCTCGATTGATACAGGTTAAATGGTTAAAAACTGAAGAACGTGTAAATCAGACTTTTAATAATAATAATAATGATAATAATAATAGTAATGTATATTGGAGTATATACTCGTACATCACATAAATACAAAGCATATAATACCCCAAAAGGCTGAAGGTTGGCAATTACATTTTTCACCTCAGCCGACTAAATGACTACAGATGTGAAACTTACTAACATACCATATTATGGGTAACAACGTTGAGTATATATAACTTTATATTATATAAAAACCATAATAAGAACGATTATTTTGAAGAGCTTGTACCTATTTAAGTAGTTGTGGCTTCAGTGAACTGCAATTGTAGTAGCATTTTTTTAAATTCGTTTTTAAAATTATAGATAGAAAATGCTTCGAAACATTTGGAATAATCATTAAGCATAGATGGTGCCGTGTAAAGGAAACTTTTTTTAATTTAGATGTTGTATGGGCCGGTATGCTGTAACAATTATCATTGCGTAGTAATACTTCTCGAAGTGATGACCGTTTCTCTAATTCACTAAACGAATACCTAGCGGATTTATATTTTAGAATTTTATATAGCAAGGTAGCATAAAAAAACAGTGAGCTGTATGGGAATTTTAAAACGTTTTCTCTGATATAATATCTAGTAATGTGCTCTTGTCTGTGCAAATCGCTGTGACAAAACCTGATACAACAATATTGAAGAATTTGGATTTTCTGCTGCATTTTCTCTGTTAGAAAGTTATAATAAACTGTAATTCCATAATACATATGTGTTATAATTAGCGATTTAACAAGTCTTGCTTTAGTATCATTTGGCAATAAATTCTTGTACCTCCAGAGAGATTTGTATGTAAAATAGCACACACTGAGTTTACTTAGAACATGACACTCAAAGCAAGCATTTGTAACTAACATTTTTCCTAAATTTTTTAATTTCATCCACAATTTCAATCATGGTTCCATCTAAAACTGTATTAACTGCTTATTTATATTTCAAAAACCTAGGACAAATGCAACAAACATTCGTTTTGGAGGGGTTAAGTTTTAAGCATCAATTTCTTGTATCACTCTCATCAAGCGAGTTTTGTATACCCATATCATACGGTTTAAAATATCAATCCTGAATTCACTAACTGCCATTGACACAATCCTTCTCTTTTGTTTGATTGATAAGATCCTTCAAATGTCTTAAGTAGTTGTTAGCACAGATGGGATAAATATGGATGTTTTTGTGGAAAAAATACATTTTGGTACCTGGTAGTCAAATAAGCAGGTGGGTTCTTCTCCAACCGATTATTGAAGAAAATTGAATGAATATGTTTTTACGATTGTCTTAGATAGAAAACAGGAAACTTGCCCGTCTAAGTGTTCACTTTGACCTGGTTTCCACTGTGTACCTTAAAAATATTCAAAAATGTGCCATCATTATAAGTCAATATTAAAGTGGAATTTTCAATAAACAGCAATGAAAAATATGATTGATATGATTCTCTTGCTTGAATTAACCTAGCCCTATTTCCTGCTAAAGCAAGTTAACTCAATAACAATTTTTCGGGCGTCTTCTATTATTATTAATGAACTGTGAAAGTTTCGGAACTCAAATACTATATTAAACCTAAAAACTACTTTAAAGCTAGCTTATTTGTCAGTGACACATATTTGTATTTTATTGTATACTATCAAAATAGGACTTATGAGGCGTTTGCACTGACCCATTTAAGTATCGTCTCCGTCTAACACCAATACCATCAGGGTATCAATTTTATGAAGCTCGAATAGACATAGAAATACATAATCATTTGTATAGTCTTTATAGAGAGAAGAAGAATCTCCATTACTCGATTATTTCTAAAATTTGATACGTGACCACGTCTTCCAAAAGTGTTAATAACCAAGCATTTTTGTATGAGCCGTTTGACAGGTACAAATGTGTATCCTACTATAGTGTATTGCAATTTCGCCGAAGGATTGTAATAGCTACTCCGTGTCTATTTTCCCATCTAACTTGTGAGAGGCTTGGAACACACGATGAGCTTTGGCAGATCTTTAATATTGAATTTTGGAAGAACTAATTGATTTCAATGTGTCAGAAGACGTGATAGATACGAAAAAAAAAGGAACTGAGGTGCTGTTCTGCGTTGTCTTCTTTCATTTCGTACCACAACTCCTTGGTTAATGAGGTACATTGTCGCTGTCACTTTTCTTATGTATACAGTGAAAGAAAAGGTCGACAAAGCGCTAGTAGAAGCTCAACCTACATATGTGGTCTTATTTCACGACCACATGGAGAAAGCCTCATATGTGGAAAAGGTGACGTAACAGCAGCATTCCAGCGCTCAATATCCCTATCATCTTAATATACAGTTTAATTTGTCCACTTGAAATATTGAAGGTGAGGTGAGGTGCATAAATTGGAAGCTTCTAGGATACCTTGAACGTCATACGGCACAGATGGTTTCCGGCATCAGAGATCCACGGGGGACCGCCTAGCTTACTTCACGCAACTGTGGAGTAAACTCATTCAGGCTCAACTCGTTACCCTTGATATCACGAAAGCATTGGGTTGCTGCCTTCCTCTCTAGCTGCAAAATATCAGTCACAATTAATGGGTTCTCCTCTCCGCCCCACAGTGACAACCCGGGTGTTCCCCAGGGATCTTGGGTCCGACAGTGTTCTGCTTACATATCAAAGACCCCATTCCTGTACGGTCAATCTGATACATAGATTTACTGATGACAGCAGTCTACATGTAGGAATTCGGAGTAACAGACCGGTGAGCTGAAGAAAAGGAAAGTAGCAGCGGCTTCCTCCTTGAAGAAAAACCGAGGGCACAACAATCTGGTACTGTTTAATACGAGTACTTCCATGACACATGACGGACCAACAAGAAGCGCCTTAGCGCTCATCTAGTTTTGATGGATGGCTGACTTCTACCAAAGGTCGGTTCATATTTGCTGGATCACCGAGGACTTGTTCTGGCATGAACGAATCTCGTCAAAAGTGTCAGCTGCTGGGATAAAACTGGACTATTGTTTAGGACTAAGAAGTACTTTTCTCCTCATAACCTCCCAAATCTGCACCAGGACCAGACAAGACCTAGCCTCGAGTATTGCTCACACGTCAATGCTCTTGAATCCTAACCTTCTCGAACCTCTTACATCCAGAACTAGCTGATACGACCGCTCCTTTGTACCTAGGGTGTCGAGACTATGGAACAACCGACCTGAGCAGGCTTTTCCCAGTTCTACTAAACCTCAAGCAGTTGAAAAATCTGATTAAAAAGGTTTATTTATGCTAATGCTAATGCTGACATGCAATTCACTTTGGAATCCCATCTCATCAAATAAGGTCAGTAAGAAATATTTTGGGATACATCTGGTAGGCGAAACAAATGACTATCTGATTATTACAAGGCCTACCTAGAAAATTCTGACTTTTTTTAAATAACTAAATAACGTCAATCTATGACGTACTTACATTTTTGGAATTAGAATTAAAAATTCTATTCGTCTGCGTAAAAACGCAATATGACGTCTATAAGAAAAGAGTTGCTACTGGCGGACAAGAGACGAAACGACATATTGAAATTCGAATTATGTCACCTTGTAAAGGATAAAAAGTAGCAATGTTAAGGTGCAATTTATTTTGAAATTCCTCTACAAATAAAGTCAGGGGATTACTAAAATGATTTTGGGAAAATTCTGTTTTTTCCGTGTCTCTCCGGCAGTACATTTTGCTAATTACCTAAATACGCAACTGTGCCCTCATTTAAGCGACTTCGAATCTCTTACAGTTTCTGTGATTCCAGTGGTGAGGTTCGAATTTATACACATATTTCAATTTAGTTTTTAAGAGCGTTCCAGTTATTATGTGAAATCTGTTTATTCCAATTTATCCTCTTCCCATTTTACTTGTAGGGGTAGGGTGCGGAAAAGAAAACACCTTCTTGAAAAAGACGCATTGTGGAAAATAAACCTGATTTATACGAACTTGTTTTAAATCAACCAAGGAAGCATTTCTTGCAGTTCAGCATGGTGCTTTATTAACGCACTTTCATATCACTTGCTCAGCCTTGTTAGATTTATTTAAAACGAAGTGATATGGTCTGGGTGTCTAGTTCAACTTTTGCAGC